TTAATAGATAATGTAAGAAATTGAATAGAATCAAGTAACTTAATTCCTGTGTTCCTCGTTAGTTACACCAATACACTTCATCAAAATACTTTTTTCAAGGTTATTTGTGTTTTAGGCAACTGATGCATATTTTTATTGTTTTTGTATCTGAATGTTCATTATAAGTAAATGAACACTTACTACATCTTGTTCTACTCTTTCTATCTGCTTCTAATAATTAATGTGGAATAAAACTTGGTGACATGGAATACCAAGCGGGGCACAATGTACCAGTGCTTGTTTTTAAGTAGAAAACATAAAACACCTTAAAACTATTTCATTCAAGACGTAATTGTCAACAGAAGTATTTCGGACAATGTAACAAAATTTCACAAAATAAGCGAAACATACACAAGTAAAAAGTGAGATTGGGGTAAACGTGTACCTCACTTCGTATGTGAAAGGTTAAAGACAATATTAATTCCGTTATATTAAAAGTATAAGGGGCAGTTCTCATTTCGAAAGAAAAGTAAAAGTTGAATGATAATGGTTTCAATAGTTAATTTACCTTTGCTCCCTGTTCCATTGAACCATGTTGACAAAAGTCTTTCAGACCACAAGATAGAACTCTTGTAATAACAGTTTGAGGAAAACAACTTCCGACATGAGCTACAACCCAATCAAAATGGGGACTGTGAGCTACACTTGTATCTGGAAGTTACATAGAATGTGTTTTTAAGTCTTCAATGTCAGAGAATGTTTCATTCTAACAAAGCAAGTTAATAAATTACTTACTTAATAATGCATTGATACAAGTTTCTGTGTTAGAATGCATTAAACATGAGAGACATTGTGTTGTAATGTCTATAAGAGTTCGTGTGGCTCTGCAAGACATCCAGAGTTGTAAAGATTCATTCAAACCAGCACCTAGAGGTACTCTTGCTCTTCCTGCATAACGACTAGATAATTCTCCTGTACAGAAAAAGAATACATCTTAATGAGTAATGTGCAAAAAGGTCAACAAGAATTATATCAAAAATTAAAATTAATTTGCTGTTAAAAAAGTATGCTGTCAATAAGCATGTACAATAGGACAGCAAATCGCATAATTTATATTGAAATCACATTTGTTAAATGGTGAAATAAACAGCATAATTACACAAAAATAATTTTAAAAAAATAATTTTTACCTAGAAGCTCAAGAGACCATGTAGAAATTATTGGAGCCCAGGCTTCTGGATTGTTACTAACAAAATTACATAAGACACTATGAATTTCCGCAATTGTTGCCTCTTCGTGACCACCACTAGGATTGGCATCATTCTGCAAAAGAAAACACATTTGGTCAAATACATAATTATCAAATTTCAATAATTTCCCTTACTAGTCATTTATTATTCATTAAATATTACCTCAATTTGTGCCACATATTTTGAGACAGCAGAATCAAATAGAGTACAAAAGTACTCTAACACAGCATCTCTGGCTGCTGGTAAGGTCTTTAATAAGGAGAGAGCAGTGCGAGCAAGTTCCAAGGGATTTGTTTTGACAGCACGTGTAGCTCCAGCCACAAAAGTTCTTAATTCTGTCAAAAGATCCTGCGGTGGAACTGACTTAATAACACTGGTACTTGCCATTTTTATTTAGTTTACAATTACACTGTCAAAATGCTCCTGCTCTAATTAAAAAGTCAGTCAAAGAAGGCAGAATTTTCTTTTCACATTCCTTTGCGTATCACGTTCAGAAGTATACTTTTTTATCGCTTGACAAATAACACATAACAGTCACTTCTAACCTGCAAAATGCACTGATAGCAACACATCCTGAACCAAATAACATCTAAGATTTAAAATATCATTACTCGCACAAGAATAACAAATAAACACAAAATCCGAACAGTTGATCTTTCATGAAGTCAAGTCTGGTCAATCTTACTGGCAAGGCAACATTAGACACTATCACTCAACCACTCAACGCGACTCGACGCCTACTCCAGCGGTTGCAGCAACCTGGTGGCAACAGGCAGCAACAGGATTACGAGGATTACTTTGCTCAGATGTGCCAACACATGAAACGCACAGCGGCGACGTCTGTGAAAGAGCGGCAAACATTTTGAAGTTTTTTAAATATCTGTATTATTTATACATTTTTTATTTTAAAAGAAATATGTTTACTCTATTATTTACAAATATAAAAACTCTCTTAGTGTTAAATTATGTGCCGAGAAAATATATACACTAATTAAGTAAATAAGTCCGACGCCTTCAAGGAGCCTCTGGCGCTCGCGACAATAGAGCAGACACAGTACTACTACGTCAGCTATCGATGTTTGATCGGAACAACAGTGCAAGCGTAAGCTGTAGCGTCCGCTACTCAGCTGCGCCAACCACAGAGCATTCATATTTTGTCTAAGGCAGCAACGCAGAACACAGCGAGAAATGTGGTTACTTCCAAAATGGACACGTGTGCTGAATGCGCTACAATAGGGTAGAGGAGAGGGCCAAGCCCAAGAGTGCAGACTGAGAGGGTTGTCGCCAGATGTATTGCAATACCACCCCGTTGAGAGCGTAGGGTGGCGACGTGGTACCAGTAAAAGAGGACCATTGTTCCAAAAACCTCTGGAGGACGCCAGTGTGCGTGGGAGTACATGCCATCTGCTCTTCATCATTAACTCTTTGTTGTTCACACCATGCATGCCACTTCATCGCACTTTGGCAGCCGTTGGCTAGCCCATGCCATGACCATTGAATACCAACAGCGGTTTGATTACCAGAGGGAAGTCGAGATTTTGTATTAACTCTATATTGAAATAATTGCCAGTAATCGACTTCATACAAAACAAAAACGAATTAGGTTTTGAAATTACAGTGATTGCACTCCAACAAGTACCTTTGTTAAAACACGTTCATTAATTTTGGGGGGGTTCTTTACATGAAGCACTTGGGACATTTTCAAACTTTTGTCAAAAATGGCTCCAAAATTTTTCTTTAACTTCCTTGTAGGAATAGAGTAAATTACACTTGTAAAGGAGACATAGGTCCGATTTTCACTATTCACTCTGAATTTTCGAAAATTGCAAGACATTGAAATTTTTTCGGCGACTTCCTGCAACTACCAAATAAAAGATAAGAGAATTTTCCTTCAATTAAAATTTTTTCTCCGTAATTAGTTCTTTCATTAAAGTCAACAACATTTTTACGAAAATTTTAGTAGTTATTGCGTGCAATTTAAAAAATAACAAAAACAAGATTTTCTCAAAAACGGCTCCAATTTTTTTTTTAATTTTTGGTAGTCATAGTGCAAAATTTGGTCTATGAGATGACATAAACATGGTATTGATCTATCGTTTGTTTTTTCAAAAAGTTCAAAAATGTATTTTTTAATAACCTCCCACGCCCTTAATATTTACATTAATGATAATTTGTTCACTTTATTATATTTATGAGTACATGCAAATTAAATAATGTCAGATAAAATTTCTCGAAAACTCAAAAATTTTCTATGGAAACGGCCTCAAAATTCCACACTTTCAGAAACGCTCAAACGTCATTTTCTCAAAAACGGCTCCACATTTTTTATTCAAATTTTTAGTACGGACAGTGCTAATTGCCCTGTTTAAGGTGCCATAAATATGTATTTTTTTAAATTATTCCTTACATCCTTAGTAAACATATTTCCAGCGAATACATTATTGCATTATGTATTTGTGAGTTGAAGTGCTTCAAATGACTTCAAATGAAGTTTTTCGAAAACACAAAAGATTCTTATGGAAGAGAGCTTCAAATTTCGCATTTACATTAGAACTTAAACGATTTTTTCATAAAAAACAAATTTTTCAACGAAAATTTTCATATAGGACGAGGTTTTACTCTTTTTTAATATTTTAAAAGTAATACCTCGAATCTACCATTGAAACAGAAACTCTGAGAAAATTTAAAAAAAGAAAGAATTTTGGGCGGCGATAGATGGCAGCTGGCAAGAGTATCTGGCAAGTCCGAAAAGTTAGCCCATAACAATATATTAGAAAACTAATTAGTACGAGAAAGTTCGTGCCATTCTGTAGCACTACTAGTTTTGAAATATAAGCCGTAAATAAGCACTTTTCAGGAATTTGTAAACATTATTGCATTTTTGAATTAAAGTGCTTCAATTGACTTGTAATAAAGTTTTTCGAAAGTTCAAAAATGTCTGTGAATAAAAACGTCAAAATTGGCATTTACAGTAACGCTTAAACGCCATTTTCTTAAGAACTTCTCCAAATTTTCCAATGAAAATTGCTATTTAGAACGAGGTTTTACTCTTCTTTAACATTATTAAATTAATATTTCGGTTCTACAATTAGAATACCTAAAAATTATGAAAATTTCAAAAAAATGTACTTTGGACGTCGATAGATGGCTGCTAGCAAGAATACGTGGCAATTCCGAATAGCTAGCACAGACCAAAGAAAATAGCAAACTATTACGAGAAAGTGTGTAGCATTCTGTAGCACCATTAATTACTTTCTCGTACACGTACGCACAGGTAATACTATTATTTATTTTACCACCGGTGAAAACATTGCACAAACGTACGCATTGTCAAAAATAATAATGAACAAAAAAATATGGTTGTGTATGGGTTCGTTTTCGGGTTCCAGCTTAGCTTTTCAATGCGTAAATAATGCCATCTCAACAAACTTATTATACATTATTACTGTGGAATTACAATGAGGAAAAGAATACTCCGTGAGTAAGACGTTCCTAGAGGGGTGGGTGGGAAGGGAGTGATATTTACACACACACACACACACACACACACACACACACACACACACACAAAAGTCATTACGCAACCTGCAATACACATCCCTCATGCAGTGCTCCCAGCGGGCACAACCAACCAGAAGGGCGAGGCTATTTAATGTATGATTATGATGAAAAGTACACGGGCACCGTCGGATATTCACCCGATAATGGCGACTACGTAGTTTGTCTTCCCATTGCAATGGGTGGATGAGATGTGAATATTGAAAATTTCAGAATTAACCGGTTAACGTTTTCCCTATCGAAACTTTGGCGGATAAATTCCGTGGTAGGAAACGTTTCGAACCATGCATCAGACTTTAGGCCAAGTGAAGTTCACATCAACCAACACGAGATGGATGGGGTACGTGAAGTGCGTGAAGGTAACGAGAAATGTAAGATCAGAATAAATAGGAATCAGAATGACGATGAGAAGCTAAGGCTCGTGAGAGACGTAGATGTGTAGTTTCGAGAATTTTTTTCACAACAGTGAGGCAATGTACAACAGGTTGACCGGAATTTCTACGTAGTTCTATGGAATTTTGGTAGAAAATTTTGCTATTTATTTTTCACTATTAATTTTCTGTTTGATAAGAAATTTAAGTATATAGAGAGGAATACAACAGATATCCGCAATCCGCGATTTTTACCTGACATTTAGGGATTTCTTACAATTGTATTTATTTTAGGCCTCTTTAGAAGCTGCCGAGGTCATTAGCGACTGCTATTGTTTTACGCACAAGTAACAATTTATTTTACAAATTATGACAAACATAGAAGTATTAATCTATCTCCCTTATGAAGCTCTCCAGGTCTGGCAAATCTGTCTATAGTTCAGTACAAAATCATTTGTACTGCAGCATTCGCCTTGTGATCGGAGAAATCACGGAAAATTACTAATTAGAGCAGCCGGCTGCTAAACTTCTCCTGCAGGCATCGGCTATACTCAAGAGAGCTCACAGGCAAGTGTTCTGAGCAAATCCTGCCATCGCCTGGACTAGAATCCTAGCACCTCCCAGTCAGAGGCCCTGTAGTGATATCAGTTGATTGCCACCTAAGCCAGTTTCTCATTAGCAGAACATACTCGTATTAGATCATATCTAGGGGCGGATTTTAATGCAATGTATTTTTTTTCTTTTCACTTTGGGACAATTCCGTTTAGTATAGAAATTAATTTTATGTTATGACAAAAGGAAATGAACCATTTTTATAGGTCAGTTATTTTGCATTTTTCGTCGATTTCAACTAATAAGTATTTTTTTACCTTTTTACGTAATTTTTTATGCATTTTTCGCTGATTTCATCGACTTTAATTTTATTTTAACGACACTTGCTTCAAACAATATTTACAAGGTGCAACAAATGTAGTACACCACAAAATTCCTGAGTATCTTATTGAATTTCTTCGCTCATGTAATGTTACTCGTTGTGAGTACTATGTAGTCTAAGGTTCAGTGACGCCTATCGGCGCCATTGTCAGGTCGGCCGATTTCGCGATAAATAAAGGCCGAGATTTTCTTTTAAAGAACAGTCCAAACCAAAATTTTGCGAGCTGAGTTCACTTGAACAAAAGGAAAAAACCCTGGGTTACAGAAGTAACATATCCAACATCTTAAGTTGTTCATCTGAAGTGGTTTTGGTCAAATTCTTTACGTAATTGTTCTTTGCTTTAAGGCCATTTTTAAAGCATTTTAAGAGCAATTTACTGATCATTTTTGTGAATGTTTTAGGTCATCAAAATCCGCCTCTATTTCAAACCAACTTAGCAAAAAAGCACATGGAGAGTGTTTGGAGAGTGTTTCATGGCCTTTGCGCCCAACAACGAGGCGAGGGGGTCCCTGCAGGCCTGGCACGGGCGCAGGCGCGGGTGCGGGCGCGGGCCCAGGCGCACTCGAGGGCGAAGGCGGCGGCGGCGAGCAGCAGGCCGCCCGCCAACAAAATGGCCGGCTGCGTGACGTCGACGAGGCCCAGCCTCCGCAGCCCGGCCGGCCGCGCGTGGCCCCGCGTCAGCGCCAGGTGGAGGAAGGCCCTGCGGCAGCGACATTCATTTGATTACTTCGTGTGTCCGGGCGCGTCTACGGATAAGGTCAGAAGTCCCGTAAATGTAGTGCTTGTTTTATGGCGGGAGGTAGCGGTGATCTGTAGCTGGATGGCGATATCTGGCTCCAACATACACGGCGGCTAGCTTGGTTTTCCCAAACATATCTCCCACCAGCGCGGACCCTCCCCAGCCGGAACAAGATCTAAGCTCCCGACTTGGATGTAGTGAAGTGCATGTAAGAGTGTAAAAGAGGGGTGAAGGCAGGACAAGAAAGAGGAAAGAAATATCGTGCGCTGTCCGTGGCCGGTCTGTTAGGGTTTTGCTTGTCAGGTCGACCTGTAGTCACGTTCACCGGAGGGGCTTGAGCACCAACTGCCCTTCGCTTTTAAAATTACATTCTTTTTGGATGTTATCCACTGACCTGTCTATGAGATTATATTGTAAACGTTCATTTTTTCTTTTCATTTATATTTATATTACAAAATTGTAATTTATATATAGCTAAACTTACACTAAACTACGTTTTATTGAATGAAGAAATTGAATAAAAATATTTTGTTTTTGTAACATGATTAAATGATGTGTATTGATCAATCCAAAACTATGAAAATTGATGTGACCGACGTGTCATTTCAAATTGGAAAAAATATACCAAGTCTTTAGTTAGATGAACAATTGTTTTCCTTACTCGTCTCT